ATGAGAAGCAAGGATATTGCAAGAAAATACTTGCAACATATAATAAAGTAACCATGGAAATGCAGATCAAAGGAAAACAAGGAAAAATCTTTTTTTTCCTCCCATCCAGTGAATAAAAATGTTAAGGACTGCTAACATCCTGTGCTGGTAAGAAGGTGGCAAAAGGGCACGCTTATGAAATGCTTCTGTGGGTAGGAATGATCTTCTGAGGAAATCAATCTAGCAATACCCAACAAAATTCTAAATTTGAATACCCTTTGACCAGCAATTCCACCTTGGGGAATCTATGCTCAAAAAAAACAAAAAACAAAAAACAAAAAACCAAGTACTAGCATCTAAGGTTAGAAAAGCAGCAATGTTTGTAGAGACAAAGAACTGATAAAACCAGAATATTCCCAACAGAAGAATAACTGAATAAATTATAATACTTCATACTATGGACTCTAACACAGTCATTACAAATAATGGGAGTGATAATAATAATGGGTTATGGCTGGGAATATTTATTATATACTAAACTTACAAAGTCACAGAGTATGGTATGTGGTATAATCTTTTTGTAAATTTTTTTAAAAGAAAAGAAACATATTCCACACATACACATAAATTCTAATGCTTTTGTGATTGTACAGGAAAGCATGGAAGGATCCCATTACCCAACACTGGTACAGTGGGTCGGGAATTGGGATAGACGGAGGCATTGTTATTATGTTTTCTTTGTTACACTTCTATGTTTCAGTTATTGCAACAAGTATATATTGTTTCTGAAGTATGAAAAAATCCAACAATGTTGCTTTTACAGAAAAAAAAAATACATATACACACATACATACCCAGTCATGCAGTAGGCTCCCAATGACTATGTCTTTATCAATGTATGTCACTGGTCAGGTGGATAATTCACAATGTGAATTTGTCTCTGGTGTCCTGGGCCTTACAAAATTTTCAAAGAAACATAACGAAGCTGCTCTGCTAAAGGACAACTATTCAAGACCTAGCTCCATGAGGCTCTTAAACTGTTCATACAGATCATCATCTCTCAAAATGGGCCAGGCATTCATCCATGAGGGAGACGACCTACCTCCCAACTCCTAGCTGGGTGGCAAGGACCCGGGGCAGCAACACCATTTGAAGGTGGTCCCCAGATGGCTGAAATAGCAACTGCTCCCTCTGGCCAGACCTGCTGCCCCCCAACCTCCTCGCACCCCCTCTACCCCATCCCTCCACCCCTGCCTATCTCCAGCTTCGCCAAGGTGCTCCCTGAACCTTACATATCCTTCCCGAATGCAATGCCTCTCCACATTTTTCTCGAATGTTCACCTCTGCATGCATGTTTTGTGTTTTTCCTAAGAAACGGGTATGACCTCCTTGAGGAGCTTTACCTTTGACTCTTTACCATGGTGCTTCATTCTATCCTCTCTGCCTCTGCCTAAGGGGGACAATTTAAGTCTAAGGGCTAGAAGTATGGCCTCTAACGTCAGAGCAACCAAGTTCAACCCTGACGGTGGCCACTTAGCTGGGTAACCTTGAGCAGGTGTGATGGTTAATTTTATGTGTCCACTTGACTGGGCTAGAGGATGCCCAGATAGCTGGTAAAACATAGTTTCTGGGTGTGTCTGGGAGGGTGTCTCATGGAGGAGATTAGCATTTGAATCAGTAAACTGAGTAAAGAAGATTGCCCTCACCAAGGAGGGCAGGCATCATCCAATCCTTTGAGGACCTGACTGAACAAAAAGGCAGAGGAAGGGCGCCTGGGTGGCTCAGTTGGTTAAGCGACTGCTTTCGGCTCAGGTCATGATCCTGGTGTCCCGGGATCGAGTCCCGCATCGGGCTCTCTGCTCAGCAGGGAGTCTGCTTCTCCCTCTCCCGCTCCCTGCTCTTGTGCTCTTTCTCTCTCTCACTCTCTCTCTCAAATAAATAAATAAAATCTTTAAAAAAAAAAAAAAGGCAGAGGAAAGGTGAATTCGCACCTTCAGGTCTGGGTGAGCTGGAACATCCATCCTCTCCTGCCTTTAGATACCAGCACTCCTGGTTCTCAGACTTTCATTCTCCCACAGGAATTACACCATTTGCCCCCTGGTTCTTGGCCCTTTGCATTCAGACTGAATTACACCATCAGCTTCCCTGGTTTCTCCAGCTTGGAGATGGCAAGATCATGGGATTTCTTGGCTTCCATGTCAGCCAGTTCCTCAAGTGAATGGATGGATGGATGGATGGATGAGCAAGCTACTGGTTCTTTCTCTGGAGAACACTGACTAATACAGCAAGTTATTGACTCCCCCTCCATCTCAGTGTCCCCAGCAGAAGCTGCCAAGACTTCTTAGGGCTTAGGCCCAGCCCTGAGGCTGCCTCTGTTTTCAGGATTCTACTGGCCAAGGCAAGTCAGAAGTCTAGTCCAAATTCAAGTGAAGGGATCTGCACAAGAGTGTGAGCACCAAGGGCCACAGATGAAATGTGCTATCACACCACATAAAACACTCAGCTTAACGTCTGGCACATAGTACGTGCTCAAAAAATGTGAGCTCTTTTTCGTATGTATTATTTTCTCTTAAATAGAGGCAAGTTATTTTTACAGTGATTCTTTACCATGTACAAACCACAAGGAAGGCCTAGAAATCTAGAGATTTCTACATAGCCCTCACATTTCATTACAGAAGATGCGGAAGAGCCAGAGTGCGGCCCTAACCCCACAGGGCAAATTTCAGAATAAAGCCAGACACCTTAGTCACCATTCTTAAATGAAAAATATCCTTGCAAGGCAGTCTCCAGGTCTCGGAGGACATAGACATATATAGATATATAGATATATAAATATATAGATATATATATATGGTAAGGGGCCAACATTACCACTCACAGCCAAGCTAACATGCAAACCTGTCCCAACATAACTGGAACCAACCACCATTTCTGCAAAGGGCAGAGACAAAATGTGAAAAATGGTATATATTCTGTATTAGAAGAATCTTAAAGGTGCTTGTGGCAGATTAAATTGAAGAAAGAAAACAAGGCAATGAGAGAGCGGAAGTAAGGGGGTAGAGTAGGAAACAGAGGATTGAAGTTACTTCAAAATCTCAAAAATATAAGCAGAGTTTGTTGTGTTCATTGTCGTCCCCAGAGCCTAGAGGAATGCCTACACATAGCAGATATTTGCAGAATTACTCTGAATTGGGGGAAGTTAAAACAAATAGGTTAAACTTGTTGAAAGGAATAACACTGGAAATACAAAGTGAATTGTTTTACAATATACCCCTTCAAACTAAAATGGAGTGAATGTACATTTTTCACACAGTTTTTCTACTGTGCCCAGGTAATGTTTTCCCTTTTAGGTTTATCGTTAAAAGGCAGCTATTTTTCAATGCCCTTTGGGAGTACCAAAAATCATAGCTATGGCTAAATGGGAGAAAGGGAGGCTCAGGGAGGAGCCAGGAAGTGAAGCTAATTTACCAGTCTGCCACCTGTAGGCTGGTTCCAGCAGACATAAACATCAGTGCCCACAAAACAGAGGACATGAAAATAATGCATATTAAATAATGCTAAAAACTGAGCAACAGATGTGTGAAAACTATATATAGTGATCCATTTGAATCATGGCTCCCCCGTTCCTGCCTCCAACGTCCTCTCTCTGATTTAAACACCCTGAGCTGTGGTCACACATACTGTTGTTCCAAATCAGCTCTCCAAGACTTACCCGTGGTCTGAAATAAGCTTTGAAAATTAATACCCCCATTAGGATGAAGGACCACACCTGTATCGATCAGGGTGTCACAGAGTCAGTTTTACTCAGATCTCATTTCAAAAGCCATGCAATGGGCTTGGAGAGCAGAGGCCATTACAAAAGAACAACATGAAAAAGCAAAGCTGGGCAGAATTGCTAAATTTCAACGTTCAAGAACAAACAGCAAACATTCATTACAAAGGCTTAGTTTGGATTTCTGGAGAAGGAATTAAAACATACTGAGTTTACAGTTTAAGCCTGTAAGATGTACTTCGGCACCATAAACCAAATGTAGTTACAGATGTCAAGACTTCTCAGAACAAGTGCTTCTCTTTATAAATGTCTGCTCTCCATGTATTTTTTCCGTTTCCATATGTCCACTCTTTATCAATATATAGAAAACACAACTTTCATTAAAAGGCTATAAAAATCCCGCCCCCCCCAAAATTAACTCTTGGGGATAGTCGCTTCCTTATAATAGAGATCTCCTGGTGGCTTTCTCCTATGGAGGCTTGTTAGTCCCTGGCTTCTCTAATTTGGGGGTCAACAGCCTGAAAATCGGGTCACCGTCGAGGTGTGGAGCTCAGAAAAACACGCCCCCGGACGCGGGTTTCGGGTCGCCGGCCCAGTCCCGCTGCCCACAGAGCGTTCCGGACGCACGCGGGAAACGCCACGTCCGCGAGGCCAAGTCTGGAAGTGGCCGCAGGGGGGGCCAGCCGGTTTCCGAAAGCCCCGACTGACCCGCAGCCTGACCGGACGCGTCCCGTGCCTCCAGCCCTTATTCCCGCCGCCTCGCAGGCGAGACGCGCGCGCCGAGTGGCAGCCCCGCACCCGGTTCGGACCCCACCTCCCCGCCTCGGTCAGGGCCTCCTGGCTGCTGGGTCTGCACCGGGTCCGGCCAGGGCGAGTCGCGGGTCCCCAGCGCGCAGAGCCCCTGAGGGCCCAGTGCAGACCCCGCGGCAGGACGCGCGCCCGCTGCCCACCCCTCACCCGGCGGTCCCCGGGGCCGCTGCAGGCTCGGCGGAGGGCGGGCGCCTGGCTTCCGTTTTCTCCAAGAAAAGTAACTCGGGGATCAGCGCTATAGGAAAGGGAAAGCGATGCTCCGAGAGCGGTGAGTAAGGTCCCCGGAGTTATTCAGCCCGGAGTTTTCTGAACTGCACCCCGCGCTGCAGCAGCTCGGCCCCGGGCGTTCGCGCCCCGAACTTGGAGCCCGCGGTGCCGTCCCGGGCGGGCTGCAGCCCTGGGGCCCGGAGCACCTCCCCGCCCGGCCGCAGACACTCACCGAGAAGCCGGCCCAGAAGGGGCAGGAGTGGCGGACGCGGGCCGAGGTGGTGAGCGCCAGCGCGGCGAAGCTGACGGCCACGATGAGGCATCCGAGCGCCATCTGCGTGGCCCCGAGCGCCAGCACGATGCGGGAGCGGCCCGGGCACTCGCGCAGGCGGGACAGGCTGCGGGGCAGCGC